TTAAGAAAAATGATCAAAAAATAGCAAACTGGGAAATTTGTGGGGGGTTAGTTGTGGTGAGTTCTCTAGGCCTGTTGTAGCTTTTAAGTCATTTTTAGCACCTGTCTTGCTCTGAGTCTGGTGATTGGTGGGGTTTTTTTTTTTGGTATCAGCAGGTCATTGGTGAAGCAGACAAATACTTTTTCACTGCTGGAAATCACAGAATCACAGATTGTTTGAGGTTGGAAGGGACCTCTAGAGATCATCTAGTCCAACCCCCCTGCTCCAGCAGGGACACCTAGAGCACGTGGCACAGGGTGGCATCCAGGCGGGTTTTGAAGATCTCCAGAGAAGGAGACTCCACATCCTCTCTGGGCAGCCTGTTCCAGGGCTCTGTCACCCTCACAGGAAAGAAGTTCTTCCTCATATGGGGAGAGAGAAATTTTTAAATCCTTTAGTTTGTTCTCTTTTTCTTTCAACAAAAATAAGCTGGATATTTGCCATACTTTTGCTTTGTAATCTTTGTTTTAGTTGGACATTTCTCTGTATCTGCTTCTGGAGTAAAACTCAGACTTTGGAGAAGTTTTTTTTTCTTACAGCAGAAGAATAAAGTAGTAGCATCTATAAGCATGAAAATATTATCACTTGCTTTTCCCTGATGACTAAAAGAACTATGGATATGCACTTTGTGGAGAAACTGATACTGTAACAGGAGTAACAGAGGCTCCCTGGGTCATCTAGAAAAGTCTCCTCCTCCATCCAACCATGCAAGCTTCTCATAGAGGACTCGGTATTTAAAAATGCTTGTTTTTCACTCTGCTGGTATGAGTAGAAGGCTTTTACAAAATCTCTACCACAATTGATAGGAATTCTTTCACTTTTTTTTTTTTTTTTTTTTTGGGTAAACTACCTCATAGTGCATCTATACACATTTATTCTTGTAACAGCATTATTTTCTAGCTAAAGAAGTTTTTCCCCATTCTGTTTCCTCTGCTATTTTTATAGCGAGTCACTTCATCTCCTCTCAGTTTTTTAATCTGTAGATTGAACAAGCCAAGCCTGACGAATTTCTCTAGTAAATTAACATTTGTAGTTATCTCAATAGTCATTTTCTGTACCTGTCCTAGACTGAAAGGTCTTTGAGTGGAGGGGACTTCACAAGGCTCCAGACAAGGTCTTAACTATAGCTTTGTAACTTTACACAGCTGCTGAAATCAACGTGCTCTTACCAGAAACATCTCCTGTTGTCACTTGTGTTGTCCCCTTCCATGCTGGTGCTTTTTCCCATCGTCATCCTGTGGTGGCCTGGTGTATCCAAGCCCTTCTCCTAAGCAGTCAACAGGTCTCAGCCCTGCAGCAGAACCTCCGTGTTGCTGCTGTGTTATCTTCCACTTCGCGTTCCTGCCTTCTGCTATATTTCTGTTATCCTGCTGTTTCTGTATTTCCTCTTAATTTTTTGATATGTAACTTTATTATCACTCTTGTCATTCTCATAATATGTCATTAATTAAAACCTGAAATAAGATTAGTCTCAAACCACAATCCAGAATACAGATGGTATAATCCCAGTTCCTTGATGCATGCAAGATAACTAAGAGTGAAGGTCTATATCTAATTCAGCTAAATCTTTTGGATGAAACATTAAGATATTTCTGTTCTGTTTGGATTCAATAGCTGTTTTGCTTGCCTGTATTTTTATAGGTACCTAGGAGATACCGAATAATAGCTAAGGACTTATGTTTTGACAACATTGCGTAGTGCCCTGCAGCAGGGGTTGGTCCCTGTTTGAATAGGCTCTGTAAAAACAAACCCTGGATGGGTGTTTTGAAAAGTAAGCACAGAATTGCATGGGGTGGAGGGAGGGAATGCAAAATGATGTATGCAGCTCATGACGGAGGTAGCAAACACACAGAAATCATTGACCTAGTCAGAGAAAGACTTTGTGACACCAGACTGGATGAGGAAAGAGTTTGCAAGATCTTGCAGAATAACTTGTGATGGTGAATAGTAAAAATGGATGCATTTTTCCTCCTTTTCTATTACCTCCCAGGGAGGAGTGTGTCGTTTTGATGTGAAGCTTGTGCAAGCCACATAAACCAATTTTCTTCTGCTGCTTTTTTTCCTGTAATGGCAAGTACCTCGTGGTACATCCTGACGTTGGAATGACCCTGCCACTCCTGGCTCACAGCCCTGGTGATGGCAGGAGTGCTTGACAGGGCTGGTGGTCCCTCTAAAGCAGACAAAATCCCCAGTTCACGCGTGTGCGGGTGTAGCTGGTCACTCAGAGCAACTGGTGTGAACGTCAGCAGGCTACAGAGCAGTACTGTCACTGCTGGCAAGGGTGGTGCAAAAATTCTCCTCACTTACTCAGAGGTGCCTTTTGCTTCCTCCCTATGCCATTTCTGATAAGAATTTTCTCTTGTCAGGGTTTTCAGAGTTACAAAATCCAGCTCTACAAGGTAGAGCTGGCTGAAAAATGGTAACTTAGAGCCCTTATGGGATATCCCTTAATCAGGCCCTTAGTGGGTTGGAAAAAAAAAAAAAAAAGGAAAGGAAAAACAAATCCAGCAACAAACCAAACTTGGGGAAAAGTAACAAAATTTGTACTGAGCTGCAAAATGAAAATCAAACAGCCTACCCACATTTAGAGGCCTTTATACCAGTGTGTTAAAAGTAAATGACAGAAGTTTTTCAGTGTTTTATGTAAAAGAACTAGTGGAGGAAAAGCTTTTGGCTGCTTTCACTTAGCAGGATACGAGCAGCTATTAAGCATGTCCGTGAAGTACCACAGCATTTTAAAACACATGGAGTATCAAGAGCCTGGGGTAGGATTGTGAAACTCTTGAGGAATTTACTGTCTTTATCTTTTGCAGACTGGGTGTTCTTCCTACTAATTCCTTCGCTATGTACTGGGGACATTATGCAGGATTTTTTTTACTTGATTTAACTTCCAGAATCTGTATCATGCTTATTTTTGAAGAAGTTTGTGTGCCTGCATATAGCAGGAATATTGGGAGACGCCGTTCTGGTTAGTCATGGGGGTGATTTTGCTTTGGTTTGGTTTTTGTTTTTAATTGTTGTGCCCAAGCGTGAAGGTGTGACCCAACCGCGCCGCGGCTCAGGTGTCCCTCGAGATTTGGGCAGAGTCCATGCGTTGTTCAAGGCCACCTCCAGCTATAAAGTAAGAGACACAGCATTAGGCAAGTAACTGTTGTCTGTCCATCTGCTGCCAAACTGGTAGAGGCTGGAATTGGGAGCTGCAGACTTTTTGTCCATTTAGGAAACACAGGAACCTGTCAAGCTCTGCAGCATCACAGGCATGGACAAGGCCCAGCCGCCTGTGCAAGGACAGCTTTGTGCATGAACACCTAGAGTCCATGTCCTCCAGCACTGCTAAGTAGCTTATGTTCTTAGAAACCTGTAATACTGCTCAAACAACTAGTATTTTCTCTAGTTGTCTTACCTGAAAATATCCCCTGCATTTTTTCCTCTCATACAGATGTCAGACATGACATAACTGGTTTGTTTTCCCAATAGCAGGCTTATATCTGCAAGATTTGGTTGTTCCTTTTGGTCTTGAGAAGAACAGCTTGAATCTTTAACAAGTGGGGAAAATAGTCTGGCATATTTGGGGAAAAAAAACAATATTCAAAGGACTCACATGTTTAATTACTAATTGACACAATAAAAAGAAGAAAGTTTAAAAAATGAATTAGGAAACCTTGTCTTGAAAATCAAGTGCTTTTTTTAATAGTAATAGTAAACTTCAGGGCTTAGTTACACTAAGCTGACTGCATGCAAATCACTTCTATATATTCTACTTTGCTTCAATGTTTCATAACTTTGTAACTGAAACCTACCAGTCACTGACCACTTTCCTGTGGGGGGAAAAAAACCATCTCTGGGATTTTACTAGACCTTTTTGATTGGAATTACTCCTTGTCTTGAAAATCAAGTGCTTTTTGATTAGAATTACTCTTCACTCACTCTGGAAATGCTGACTTGATACCTTAAAAAAATACCAAACCAAAATGTTTTCTAGTATCTTGATGATATAAGGTGTGAGGCTCATAGAAATTATCCTTCATTACATGTATTTATTGTCAAAAATATCTATTGCTGTTTATGTAGTTTTTCTTCAGAGCAAGCTCTTCGCTGGTTAGGAGGTATTGGTCTGCATATACTACAAGCTGAGGGTGGTGGCCAGAAATCCAGAAGTGTGTGATGGGCAGTTTACTGATTGCACAGGATTTCAGTGCTTTATAGCCATCGGTGTCTAGGCTGGTAAGATTTTGAGGGACAGATATGCAAAGAGCAATAAAAAACAACCCTGACCCAGGGCGTGCAGGCTTCGAAGGGAGCAGTCGTAAGGTGTCTGTAAGCATGTGATCAGGGCGCCTCTCTGGGAAGGAAGGATTTTTGGTTGTTATGTCTTTTGCAATGGAAAATAACAAAAATGCATGACATTTTTGTGATTATTATAATCTTTGAATAATTCTCACCTACTGAGTTATTCTAGAGCTTTTCCTGCACAGTAGTGTAACTGCGTATGACAGCTGGAGTTTTCCACTGCTTCAGTCAGCCCATGCCCTGTATTTGCATGTTCTCGTGAATAGCGTGGTGTTGAATCCCATCCTGTGGAGGAAGATGCAGAATCTGTGCCTAGGAAGCTCCTTAGGAAGTTATCCACCTCCTGGGCTATTGTTGTTATTAATGGATTTTTATTAATGGTGCAGAATTAATCACAGTGCATTTCCTCTCCCACGTGTGGAATAGATTGCTCCAGTTGATGATCTCATTTTCACTCTGCTGTTTGACATCTGTACTAAGATCAACACACACATAAGATTTTGGAATCAGAGGTAGAATTTGAATGGAAGTTGATTTAATAATAATAATAGCTGTTTACTTTATAGCACTGTGACCTCATGGGCCAGCTGCACTGTTTCTACATAGACTTTGAGCCTCAGGAAAGTCCTGCCTGTTGATCTCAGCCATTTTTCCCCTGTGTCCTGTGGCAGGCTCTGATACTTCACCAGCTCGGGCGCTACAGCTTGGCCGAGAAGATCCTGCGCGACGCCGTGCAGGTGAACTCCACGGCCCACGAGGTGTGGAACGGCCTCGGGGAGGTGCTGCAGGCCCAAGGCAATGACGATGCCGCCACCGAATGCTTCCTGACGGCGCTGGAGCTGGAAGCGAGCAGCCCTGTGGTCCCGTTCACCATCATTCCCAGAGTCCTTTGATAAAATTATCTTGGTCTGGCTCCCGCTTGAGGAAACCCGGTAACTGGTTAGTGTGAAAAAAAAAAATAGAGCTACATGTAACAAACTCCAGTTTGTTGCGGGGAAAGTGGCCAAAACAGTGACGTGATGCAGTGTATTAACGACTGAAAGGACAAAATGGCTAACCAGAACCAACACTCCTGTCAGCTACACTTTTGCCCTGGTAGTTTTAAAACATCGTTATATTGTTCATGGATGATGTGCCATATTTCGTTAGTGGTATTTGAGTATTACATAAAATTATAATGAAGTCAACTACCAAACGTAGAATAATATATTCAAGTTAAAATTCAGTGGCAGAGCAGGCTATTTTTAAAAAGGCTGTTACGAAAACTGCTCTCTTCCTGCCTCTCAACCTCTTTTGGCCCAAAGTCAAAATGTGAATTTTCTGTTTCCATCTCTGTTTTAGTCCAAGCCAGAAAATCAGTTGAGTTCTTTTTAGTTGTTAATAACTGTGATGTGTGGCTAACTGTAATCTCTATTTAGAACAAAGGCTGAGTACAAGAATATTTATATTTTACCAATGTATGCCTGTTACAAAAATATATTAGTTATTTAAGTTTAACTTTTTTTATGTGAATTCAGAGTTTATTTATCAATGGAAATATGTAAAAAGAAGCCTCAAATGGAATATTTACCGACATTCCTTACACATGACCCACACTTGGCTAAATGGGAAGATTATGTTGTTAATAAAATGATTTTTAAATGGAACCATGCCTGTGTGCTGATTAAGTACCCAGAGGAAAGTAGATCGCTTGTGACTACATTTTAATGATGAGGGGCCTGAGGCTGGCTGGCCTTGAAACGATGAGCAATACTGATATTAGATGCCTTGAGGCCAGGTTAGAAAACACCTTACCATTAGTAACTGTTATTTCAGATTTCCTTCAATCTTCACTTCTCCTTTCTGCTCCTTCCACTCCTCCAGTGGTCAATAAAAGCAGATTATTATTGTTTTTCTATGTAGTGCAGGGACTTCTACATATACATTGCTAGTGCTTGTCTAACAGCATGTCCTTTTTCTCGGTTTTCTTTACCTGTCTTTACTTTTTTTTTTCCCCTGAACATTTCCCTCATGTGAAAGAAGAGTTGGCTGGTAGCATATACATAGGTAGTGGAAATAGTGCCAAGTGTTTAGCAGACAAATGTTTTCCAGAGCTGTTCTGGGGAGAGTGGGCAAGAGTCATCCGCTGCAGTGACTGTTCTGGTTGGGGAGGGCAAGCTCAGCTGGTCTCGTGTCTGCTCACATTCAATACTGGGCTCATATGGAACCTGGGAAAAATTCCAGACTCCCTATTAGACTGGGTGTTCGGTGGTATTTGTCATAAGAAGCACTTTTTAAGTGTTTAGCACAAGATAGCAGATGATTCAGGAAAATAATGGCAAATGTTTTTCTTTGTAGCTCACCAGAGAGCTTACTCGCCTCAAATGCATCGAGGATCCTCTCCAAGACGTAGGTTGTGCTCACATCAGCAACTATCTTCGAATGGCAGAAGGCTGAAGCTTAGTAGAGCTTTTCCCTTGTTCCTTTTTCTTTCCCTGGCATTTTATGTGCCTTTTAGGCCAAGGCAATTTTCAAATTGGGTCTACTTAGTACTTAGACCATATGTTCTCTGTAAAGTGGACCAAAAACACTGGAATAGGTAGTATTTTCAAATCTATTTTAAAACCAGTTGCAATACTGTCAGCTTGCTCATTGCAAAAACATCCAAGTATTCCTTCCTCTCTCTCAGTGCCTCGTTTGCTTGCTTTCCTCCTACTATCCTTGGCATTTTTTCCTCCTCTCTACTTGCCAACTGAACTCTCTTTTCTAGTCCCACTCATAATGTATGCTCTGGTCCTGCAAATTTGGTTTAATTCAATTCTTTTTGGACCTTTCTCTGTTATCCCGGTTCAGTTACAGGTTAGCATAAATTTAAAGTCAGTTGCTCTCTTTTCACGTACATACTCTTTCACAATATTTATTCCCTTTTTATTATAACAGAAAAGCTTTTCCAACACAGCAGTTGGCACCTAGCTCTGAGACTAGTCGCTTTTCTGAAGAGAGTTTCAGGCAAAAGTAGAGAGTAGGAGAATTCTTTTAATAACAGAATTTATCTTTGGTTCTTCTCAGTTAATTTAAAGTCCTGACCTCTTTTGACAAACTCCCCAAGGGGAAAGGTTAGCAGTCTAATTGTGTCACGTCTGCTCTTAGCAGAGCAGTTCTTGCTGCTGTCATGCTGTTCACCTGAACCCACACGTTTAACTCATTTTTCCTAGGCTGGGGTCGATTTTGCTGCAAATCTAGAAGCTTCTACCTCTTGGGAATTACCAAGGTTGTCAAAACTCAACTAGCTGATTTTAAAAATGGATTCTTATGGCAAGACCTTATGTTTAGGAGGTTTCAGGCAGAAATAGAAGGCCTTGCAGCCTATGAATTAAACAGAAGTGCTTGTTGAAACATAGTTTTCAACTTACAAAACAATAAGGTGCTAGGTTTTGTACTTGTAAAGTCTTTTAAAAAATTGAGTGTGAAGGCCAGTGTTATATATGGTGCTCGTGCTAGCTGGCATGCACAGCAGGGTCTGTATTTTTGCCCTCTGCTCTCGGACTGCTCTGGTATCAGTTGTCCGAAGGGAGTGCTCGGCCCCAAGATCTAGTCCCCTCAGTCCCAACAGTCGTGTCCTCCGCGCTGCGGCTGCTCCTAAGCTTTGCAGCTGCCATCTCCTGCGGACACAGCTCTGCGTGTGCCCTTGCTCCCCTGACGGGTGGCAGCAGCAAGAGAGGTTCAGGTGCATGGTAAGGTGAATCGGGGACGGATCCAGCTGCAAACTAGGACCAAACCTTGCTCCCTTGCCCCAGGGCTTTACTAGGATTAGTTCTTTGATCCGATTCACCGCACTGTTACAAATAGTAACACGAACATGCAGAAGACAAGACAGGACTTCCTCCCTACGGAGCAGCCTGCACATACGACAGCTTGAAATGGTTGTTAAATTGCATTATCAAACACTAACTGTATGATAATGAGTTGCACAAGTTTCAGAGATCTGAAGTCCTTCAGCAGCAATTAGTTAGGTTTGTCATCCAAAATAGACTGGAATAGCAGGTTTCAGAGGAGACTTTTCTTAGCGTTTCTCTTGCACTTCTCAAAACTGGTAACATCTGGGGTGTGCTACGCACACTAGACTAACAACAGAATTTATTGCACTTGATGATAAAATGAGTAGTACTTACATTAAGGAAAATTGTCACTAAAGTAACTGATTAAAATTCATCTCTAATTTTGGTGCCTTTGTTTCTATGAGTGATAAGGAACCACAGGAACAAGAGCAGTCCAAGGAAGACCAATCCAACCATATTTTTGAAAACTTTGGTCATCAACTGCACACAGTTTAAAAATCAAAGACTATTTTTAAAAAAACATGCTGCAATTTTTTTTGAAATTATTTTTTTTTCCTGAGTTGACTCTCTGACTGAAATAAATCTGGGTTTAGTGCAGTTCTAGGTTTACCTCACTAATCATTTGTTTGTTCAGCTGTCAATTAAAAGGATATTTTTCCTAGCCATCAGTCTGGCCATTATCCTATCTGCTAGCATCAAGCCATGTTCTTGTAAGCTCGCATACACTTTCAGCGAATATTCTTTTCCAGCACTGCATCTGTTTAACCTTATCTCCAAACTACAGATTCCCATTCCACTCCACTACTCTGGAGTGCATTAAACTTCCAATATATCTGTATTATCACACAGAAACTTGCCATAGGACAAGCACTGAACATGACACTGTTGTTTTTACCCGGATGTTTTTAAAGTAGAACATCTGGCAGATGTGGCCTTTCAAACTCATCCATAAGGAGCACAGAACAAAGTTCCTGAAGGAAGGAGGGAGAGTGCTATGGGCTTTTAAAATCAGCACTGATTTCCAAAGCTTTTTATTTAAAGGAACTTTTCTTCCTTGAACCTATTTTGGACATCAGAGGGTTAATGAAACATGGTTGTGCTGGATTCTTTCCCCCCGTGTCGCTAAGGGAGTTGCTTCTTCAGGAGCAGCTACCTCGGTCCCCTGCATGCAGGTGCCAAGGGCTGGAGCCTCCTCCATCAGGGCAAGCAGATGGCACTTTTCAGTATGAAATTACAATTTCCAGGGTGACTAGCTTATCTGCCTTGATTTTTTTGAGGCAGGGGCTGGGGGGAGGGTGTAAATAATGAAGTAGTAACACTGTTGGCTGCTTGGGCTGCAGGTGCGCAGCGGCCTCAGCTCTGGCGCAACACTGGCTCCTCCTGTGCCACCTTTGCTTCCCTCACAGGAAATTGCCGGAGCCAGACTGGGAAATTCTGACCCTATTTGTCACCTTCAGGGTATTAAATGTGTATCACATAATGAGCCTTAAGCTTCACTGCTACTAATGTAGGTTTTCCCAGGATCATTGTTTTCCAAACAGCACCAAGTACTAATGTAGGACTGGAGGGGGCAACAGAGGCCATAAAACATTTCTAGCAACTTGGCTTCCCTTTAGACTGCCTTGCAAGAATAGCCTGTACCTGCAGTAGAACAGCCTTCTTCTGACAGGAGTCCTTTTTTGTTTATTTTTTGTTTTTTCTTTCTTTTTTAGTTCTGCTGCAGCATTTCGGGTAGCAGTTAAGCCACGGTGCTTAGCATCTTTTGTGGCAGGGCAAGGGCCTCAGCAGGAGCCTTGACTGAAGCTGCCAGTGCGGCTCCGTCCTGCAGCAGAAGGACCTGACAACCACCTCATGAGGTAAAAAACCCCCCTTCTTTCCACACAAATCTGCTGCAGGGACGCTTTCTTCCTGCTTGCTCCTCCTGTGTCCCTGCTGCTGTTTCTCCCCTGCGCTCAGGGCCGCTCTGGAGGAGGGCACCCCGAGAGCGTCCTCCCGGCGGCTGCTTCCCAGGGACGCTGCGCGGAGCAGCTCGCCTGTGGCTGTGGATCCACGAAACAGCAGCTCAAAATGCACCA